TATGTGTAGTACATATGAATACCCTGCACCGCAAGTGACTGCCTTACCTCTTTATGGAATTTGATGGCATCTACGAAGTTGCCCAGCAGGTAGTGGGTGTTGCCCAGGTTCCCAAAGGCTCTTCCCTGTGCTGCCCGGTCACCCAGCTCCTTTACTAGAGACAAGTTCATCCTAGCAACCAAATACCACAGGCAAGATGGGAAGAGATCATTATCAAGCTGAACAGTCCTCCTTGAACATAATGCCTTTACAAAGGTTCATAGAAGTATTTAAGTATAGAATAGTCTTTTCCTGGTCACTGATATTTTACTGCTGACACATTCATATTTATTATCAGCAAATCTTCCGTAATATTTGTGTTACTAATTTTCACCGAGCCCGTTTCAACACCTTGTCGGGCCCGGCAAAAATTAGTCAATGAGCCAAGATACGCGGCAATCAAGATAATTTATTCAATGACATCACTGAAGAGGACAAACAGAGCTGAGTCTGAGGAAACGGCTGAGGCAGTAGCTACACAGCTGAAGCAGGCAGGTCTGAGGTGATGGAGATGATTAGTGGCAATGATGACTGAGGAACTGGAAACTGAGGATTAAGAAACACTGAGAAATACTTCTGAGAACCTGAAACTGAGACAAACGCAGAGCAGAGCTAGTGACTCAATGTCTGAGGCCTGAGGAATGGTTCCTCAGGGCTTAAATACTGTGCGAGGTTCCCTAATTGGCCCCAATGAGTCTCCAGCATGTGTGGAATGTGCATTGGTAGTTGGTGGAGCTAATGCGGTGGTGCTGGAGCTCGTCTGGGCGTAACAATTTGTGCATATTAAGGTATACATTATAATATAAGCATACTATATTTTGCTTCATACAAAAATATTGGAATCTGTGACAGCCTTAAAAATGAGCACCCCAAATGCTTCATTTCACTACGTTAATTCTGTATCCATGTTTAAATGCATTTTTCTGCATTTCAGCATGATAATGGTGTACAACACCAAGTCAAATGTGTTTTTCCCTCTGGAGTTCCCTTCTTAGTGTTGTTTCTGTTTCTATTATCACTTTGCAAAGGCTGCTCATTATCTGAGAGCAAATGACTAATGACCTAGAAAACCCAGCTCGGGTTTCTGAAAAGGCTGCTACTCAGGAAGAAAGTTTAAAGTCACATCTGAGCATCGTTTCCTCTAGATTCACTGGGGAAATTCTAGAGGTTGGTCTCTTTTCTCCCATCTACATTTCAACACCACACAGAATGTTTTATTATTATCCATCCATGCAATTTCTAACCGCTTTATCTAATAAAGTGTCTCGGGAAAGCCGGTGCCTATCTTGGCAAACAACGGGCACAGGACAGGATACAAGATGGAAGGACACACACGGACAAACACACATTTACTCACACCATGTCCAATTTTCCCAAAAAGCCATTTAACTTATTGTCACTTCTTTGGATGGAGGGTGGAAGAGCACCCGGAGGAAATGTGAACATGGAGAAAACATACAAACTCCACACAGAGAGCACCCTAGGAACTGTGACCAGGAACTTTGTGCTGCAAGGCAGCAATGCTAACCACTGCACAACCATTCCACCCTTAATTATTTAAGTAATATTATTAAATTAAATTTTTATTTATTATTTACCTCATGAAATAAAAATCTGTTGTTCATGTGAATGCCAGTGACAATGTAGTGAAAAAGCAAACAGTGCTGTCCAAAGATGTGGTTAGTCTCTCGGAAAACTGCTGCAAAATATACTTCAGGTGATCTGTGAATTTAAGCAGCACCTGTATGATCGGCGTATGGAAAACATTGCTTGTTTCATAAATGAAATACAAATAAAATTGTTCTGAAGTTCTTGTTTTGAAACTACACAGTGAATTCCGCTGACTTGTCCTCTGTAAATGTGATAATTGCTTGATGTTTCCAAGGGAGAAGGTAACAAACATCAGACACTGTCACATTGCAGTTAAATAGCTCTCAGTGGGAGTAATTTCTTGTTAGGTTCATTGCTAATATGGCAGAAAACTACAAATAATATCAGTGAAGTGAAAATCACAAGATAAGTAGAAAGGAAGGAAATCTTGATCAGTAAAAAAAAAAGATGATTTCATTTTCATTGCATTTTCTGTAATGTCTTTTGTAATGTACAGCACTTTGAGATAATTGTTTTTATAGGCTCTATATAGTCTGATTATTATGATATATAAGCATTTGTGAATATATATATATAAAACCGT